CACTTACATGTTACTGAGGTCCCAAAGAGTTGAAATATTTAACATAACAGAAAATACCAGGCTCTTGGGGGAAAAGGAGGTCATTGGGGCCATCATCAAAGGGCCCTGGCTCCTAGCCTTTTTCATTCTCCTTTCTACTAATTGCTTTCTTTGCTTCCCAACTGAGCAAGTAGGCCATTTGTCTACACAAAATGCAACGTAAGATGTAAAAGAAGAATTGAGCCCTTTTTGTCCCACAACTTTTCCACCTAGTCTCAAGACCCTTCTGCTTCATTTCTGAATGTATTCCACACCCACACACTCTAGCAGACACAAACACACACCTTTTCATTTAATAATGAATTTCTCCTTTTCAGATGTAGATTTCCCAGCATTTGACAACGACCTCTAGGGATAACAATATGGAGAAAGCCAAGAGATGCATAAACGTGCTTCTTTAATGGTATGGCTATGATTTTGTACACATGTGTATATCAAGGAGTTTCTGAATTTCTCCCAACGTCTGCCATCCCTAGGGAAATGCACTTTGTGGCAAAGTGAAACAGCTACTTACTGTGCTTCTTCAGAAGACTCTTGTTTTATTTTTAATGTTCTCTTTGTGACAGGCATTTCATCTGAAAGGCAAAGATGAATTTGAAGATGAATTATATTTTGCTAAGCCATGACATATATTTATGCAGATTTGTAACTATCTTTACTGTTGATGCCATATTTTCAAATGCTAGGCCTTAATTTCTAGTGTCACTGTTGGAGTTCAATGCCAGATTTATAAATATATCTCCCAAATAATGAGATGCATACATTTATATGCAAGATCAGAAACCAGCTCTACATGTACAAGATTCTTCAAGGTCACCAATGGATTTCTAGCTAGGAGATTAAAGCTTCATTTCACTGTGAACATGATTTTAAAGTACAAGAATGAAAACAATTCTGTTCAACTTAGATTTTCCACGTAGATTTTCCAAAGCAATTATTTCTCCAATATTAAAAGACTTCCCAAATGTATAATATGTAATTTTTTTCAAAGGTTTTAGTGAATTAACCTCTAAGAACAAAACAAGAGTCACAGGACACCAAGATTAACCTTTATTAATGTGCTTGAAAAATAAAATGTGGTTAAATACTTTCTGCAATTTAAGTAAATTATCTTTTTTTCTTTCCTACTATATCAAGACCTTTTCCTCCATTTAGCATTTTTTCTTCCTCATTCAACTATTGAACATTTTTCATTTTAAAACAGAGAATTAAATCAGTTTCCAATTCCTGCTTTTTCATTCAGTACTTTTCTGCCATCAGGATTTTACATAAACAGTGTATTTAGACTTTATCTGCTAAGGAGTTCATGCTAAGCTTATCACAAAAGTGTGGATGGCTCTAGATTAACTTCATAGAGAGCTCTTAATTACCTCAACATGAGGTAAGAGAATTGTGGCCAAAGTATAAGTTATTATCATATAACTTAGTTGATATATAGTGGTTGCAAAAGGGCTCTTTCATAAAACAGTGATCAGAGAGTTAAATGTTAAAAAAAAAAAACTCTCTTGATCAGGCTCAAAGGATCTAGATTTGAGGAACAAGTTTTTTATTTCTAACTTCTATAATCATGTGCATAAACTTTATACTCAAGTTACAGAGGCTACTTATAGTCATACTACTAACTAACTGGAATAAGCATATGGTAAATAATTTAATTCAAATGGTCCTTTGAATAAATTGAAGAACTCAACTTTTTCAGTCAGGTTGAAGCCTAACAGGGACATTTATCCGTATTTAAGTTCAAAAGCCAAAAAGGACAATCAAAATTTCAGTATTTTGTTCAAATGAAGAAAAAAAAATTTAAACAATACAGAATCCAATAGCCAATAAACTTTGTAATTATCTTGGAACTACAGGATACAGGTACCATATACTACATTTAAAATTGAATTGTTTTAAATTCAAAAGTCTTCCATGATATCAGGAATCTTGCTGACACCTTAATTATCAATTAAAAAAAAACAAACAACAAACCATGCTATAGATGGAAGCTTAAGGCCAATTGGGGCTACACATATCTGCCCACAAAAGGTGGTTACCATCTAGTGCCAACAGTGGGAATGGTACCAGGACATAGTCCAGGATTATCTATAGCAGTATACACATAAGGGTACATAATGGCTCTCTTACCCAATTCCTGATCTGTTGGATAGCCATGTAGATCCTGACTGTGGTTTCCCCAGTCCTCCTGTGAATAATCCTCCATAGTGCTGCCATCTGACTCCAGCTCCTGGTACAAGCCACTACTGTTAATAAGTACAGGCTGGCAGGGCTGAGCATCCCATCCTCCCTGACCAAACACCTGTTCCAACTGTTCAAATGTGTAACTGCTCTTTCTTTTCCCAACACCATGTTCTTTCACCCGACTGTAACACCTGCGAAGGGTCTAAGACACAAAGTCTTTTGTTATTCCTTTAAATCTGTACTTCCTCTTCCAGGTATGGACCACAGATATTAATTACTATTAAACAGACACAAACAAACAAACACAGACACATTGTTATAGGAATGCTAGATTTCATTTTCATTCATTATATTAGAAAAATACTATATTCAGCAATAACTCAAACACATTACAATTCAAACAACAGTTTTGCAGTTAATTATCCATTATAAAACAAAAAACATTACATCATAGCATGTACCCGATACACACATTTTATCCCTCCTCCCCCATTAAAAAACAACCAAGAAGTACCAGCCAGCCAATAGGATGCACACCTGCCACAGAAGAAAGAGTACAGCTGCTATTGTGCCCAGAATTTGGAAAAAGGTGAGGGAAGGGAGGACAGAGAAGAGGATTCCCCAAAGTAAAGAATACAACCTTCCTTACTCTAGGTTAAGGAGGAATACAGGTTAAAAAAAAAATTGCCTAAACTAATTAGCTAGTAAAATATATTACTTACATAGTCTGTATTCCTTACTAACTCATTCTGTCTCTTGGGAAGCTGCTGAAATTTAAAATAGAGGTCAAATCAATAATACGCCAAATTCCCAATCTAACATATCAATTATCAAGAATTAGTACTCTAATACCTAGGTATAATAATGAACCTAATATACTACAATCTACTCTAAGACCAAACTGTCAACTAAAATAAACAAATAAAGGTCACTAATTACCTTTTTTTTTTAAAGTGGGTTGGAAAGGAATTTTATTTTATTTCCATTACTATACATACAAAAGAAAATGTTATACAAGTACACAGATACATTTAGGTTATTGTCTTCTAGAGTTCAACCTTTTCAATTTTGTAAGAACAGGGGCTGTTATTTGGATGGTCTTTATCTCATTTCTGATTACCAACACCATTTCTTATAACCAAGTGGTATACCTTACAGTTTGTTACTTTAAAGGGTAAACTAAAGACTTGGTACCAACTCCCAAATTAGTTAGCTAGATTCCTACCCCTCCCCAACTGCAATCCTTCCAATATCCATTCTGTTTTGTTATGTTTAACTTCATGGGCAGTTTGCCTAAGAGACAATCCCCTACTACCACCCTTATTCCCTGTCAAATTCCAAGTACTTCTATATTCAACTATGCATTGCTGGTTCATTTCAGAATTAATTTGGAGGCATTAGTGTGACTGTAAATTTCTCTTTTAGATATAAGATTAAATCCCTTAAGTCAATATATTATCTATTCCAACCAAAACTCTTGATAACCTTTTATAGGGCCTCCAATAAGTTTCAAACAATGATGGGCAACCTACAGAAGATTTTACTTCAAAATATGTCACTTGAAGCTAGACATGCGGAATAAACAATGGTAAGTATAAAAAGATGATAAAGATGATGAACTGCATAGTCCATCCTAAATACTAGCCTATTCCCTGCATAACCACCTCTCTACTTAATTCAACCTTCTTCAGGATCTCTTTTGGCACCTCAAATGAACTCTTTAAAGAGTCCTTTAAAGAGTCCTTTTTACCAGGGGCACAAACACAATTCCATTAGTCACAACCTTCTTAATTGGCATTTTAGGCTCCAAGACTGCCGAGGGCTTAAGTCAGAAATCTGGACTTTAGAAAATGGTCAATGAACAAGCTTTTGAACCAAAGAAGACAAGTGCCTTCAAAGGTTCTCTCATTCAAACCTCAAAATATTCCCCCACCCCAGCGAACTCTGCCCTCCTTACAAAGATTAGAATTTGAATTACAAACATCCCCAGGAACTTAAAAAAAAAATCTTACAATGTCTTGTTCCTGTCTCCAAAAAACCCCTATCCAGCCCCTTGTAGGGCCATAAATGGACATGTCCAACCATATTCCTTTCACCCTTCAAGGCCATACATGGAGACAGAAACCCTGTCACTGCTCACTTCTTTCAAGTCACCCAAAGAAAATATTCACTACATCCTAGAGCCAGAACTATCACTGACAACAATTTGGAAAACCAAGGAATAATACTAATGTCATCTCTCTAAAGAAAGGTAACTTAGCCACATCAAAACCGCCAGGATAAAATACAGACCTAAGAAAAGCCACCAATCTCTGATACCAAATATGGTGGGAAACCACAAAACAGGCTCTTTTACCATCTGTGTAACCACTAAATTGTAGTCAGCTAAACTTGAAATTTCATACGGTTTATGTAAATAAGCATGAAGAAAGCAGTAAAGTCTAGTAGTTACACAATGGTTGAGAAGTCTCAGATTTGCTTATGGAATATTGGCCTGATGACTTGGTTTCTTTCAAACAAGAGGGCCTAACAATTATTGCTATATACTTGCTTGCAATAGCTGATGTAGAAAAGAATTATTTGATTTCAGTGTTGAAGATGCTGAGTAAGCAAATATCAGATTGGGAATTTGATATATAAGAATGATAAAACTAGTTAGGAACATAGATCTGGAACTAGAACTCAGAGGCCATTTATTCCAACCCCCTTATTTTACAGATGAAGAAACTGAGGCCCAGGGAGGTTAAGTGACCAAATGGCACACAAGTAGCAAGCATCAGAGACAGGATTTGAACCAAGGTCTTCTGATTCCATGGCTGGTATTCTTTCCACTGTACCACACTGCCTCCAGGTAAATACAGCTTCAGTTCTCTCAAGAAATGTACATATTTCAAGAAATGTTTAGGCAGAACTGCCTTGCTGATCTCCAGCATGGACCCAAGAACCAAGAAGATTTCATACTTTTCATATAACATATGTAAGGCACGTTCATCAAGACAGATCATGTCTCCAGACTTGAAGGAAACATTAAAACTCAGAAAATCAGCTTGTCTAATCCTATGAGAAACACTGTGATATAGCTAAGCCAGGGGATCTGGGGTGGATAAATAGGAGGGAAGGAGATTCCTACTCTTATCACATATATCCTGACCAGAAAAAAGTAGACCTTCCTAACTACAAAAGATTATCTAAGGGATACAATATAAAAAATACATACTATAATAAATAAAAGAACTTAGGGAAATGCCCTAGTTTGAGTCCTGACATTAAAATGACAACATTACAGAATCTGAGAATGTGAACCTTGATGATTCTCAGGGAGAAGCCTCACCCCTCATTTGCTGACAGGCCATATCTGGCAAGAACCTAATTCTGGCCTTTCTTAGGAAAGTCATTTCAACTATAAGAAGAGATGCTTCTTTCTCTCTTGGCCTCCTTCCTCCCTTCTCCCTTTTACCCATCTCAGAAGTCAAAGTAACGTAGGTTCAGAAAAAAATTTTAAGTGAATTAAAATTTAGGGGAAGAGAATTTACTTAAACCTATTAGAGGATTCACTTTTCCCAGGCTACAGAAAATATCCAAAATGGAGTAAAGGCAGTGTAGCTACTACCAGATATTTAGATATTTCCACAAAAAACTATATAGATACATGATTGTTCCCACAGAGAAAATTGTTAACAGTCACATATTACGTTGTATCTTGAACAAGTTTTTTTTTAAATTATGACTATATGAACACTAAAATACCAATTTGATCAGATGACCAAATCACAGGTGTGAGTGCTTCAGTACTAAGTTTAGAAGAAATGCCAAGTGAACTTTTTATTGATGTCCACTATGCCAATTATTTGAGGATTAAAAAAAAGGTGAGAATCAAAGAAAAGATTTGAAAAATGCCCCACTACCAAAGTAGGGAGAAAAAGATGACTGACAACTTGTAGAACTGAGTTAATTTTTTGGTCAATTTTAAGATTAAAAGAAAAGAAAATGAAAGAACAAGAAGATGACATTCATTGTGGATGAATGCAAAGCAGTCTATCTGAGGAGTAAACAGAGGCAGGAATTGAGATTGGCAGGATTTGGGTTTAACAGTAGCAATGCAGAGAAAGACCCAGGGTTACAGTACACGAAACATTAAATACAGTGCACAATGCAACTCTCTTGCCAAAATAAGTAAATCCAGTATTGGGTTGTATAAGCAGAGGAATCACATGTAAGCTATGAAGGTGGCTCTTCCTCTCTATTCAGCACCGGTGAGGCAACAGCTGGAGCACAGCATTCAGTTCTGGGCATCGCACCAGCTACAAGAGAGGGAAATTGTAGAGTTCAGAAAAGGGCAAATAAAATAATGAAAAGCTTGGAAAAATAAGATCTACAAGTAGGGCAGTGGTTTCATCACAGCCCTCCCTGACATTATACAAGATACTTTTGGGATGGGAGTGGGTCTCATTTTCCCTCATATCTCCTATAATCCTTTCCTGGATTTTCAGGAAGTGAAAAGAAATAAATTCTTCCCAAGCCTGGCAGAGAATAAAGGGAATTAAGCAAATTCATAAAACAGGGTGGAGTGTCACCAATTCTGCTATTAGCACAATTATTTTCTCAAAGTTTGCCCCATTTTACATATAATCGGAAAACAATTACCATGACAAAACCACTGATCTATGAGAAATGGCTACAGGTGAAAGAGCATCCAATAAGAAGTAGGAAGAGTGGGCCACAATAGCCACACGCAGGTAAATGTGTTGTTTGAAAGATTTTGGCATGATCATTCTTGTTAGTGTCAGATATCAGACGAAAAATAAAGTCGAATTGCAGGAAGGAAAGCTGAGTTGTAATAGTAGGAAACGCTTGTTTAAAAAAATAAAAATAAAAAACCAAGTAGTAAAATAAGCTTTCAATGATAGTTATAGAACTACCCACACTAGATGGGGACTAGGTATACTTTATCTTAACCCTCTGCCAACTGAAAGTTATCCATGTAGTTTCCCTTTTTTGGCCAAATGATTAAAAATATAATATATTTTATTCTTAAACATATCCTTATAAATCACATGGATTCTCTACTTCATTAAAATCAGGAAAAATCAAGCACAGGGAAAATATCCAGGAATTTATTTTCTAAGAACTGAAGAAATACCTAAGGCTAAAATAGCTGTAATTCTTAAAGGCACCAAATCATATGTCATTTTTAGATTATTTCCCTAGCTTTGGACTAAGGTCACTGCTTTCTAACGATGCCAGCTGATTAATTTTCCCATATCCTTATTCATAAAAATTAAGATGCAGACTTTTCCAAAAGGAGGTAAAAATTAACCGATTGCCTGGTTAGTTATTTTTAAGAATTATCTTTTTTAAAAAATCTTTATTGTTTTAGGTCATACTAAAATGTTCTTTCTTCATCACATTTTCTCGGTGTCATCACCAAAGTTTCAGAAAAAGAAAGGTTTCAATTAGCAACTGTTAAGAGAAAACAAACTTATTTCAATATGGGCAAGAAAGATGATACGAATATGGGGTACAAACTTCTGGCACTTTACTTCATGCATTTTTTGGAGTTCTACCTATCAGCAGCTCAACATCAAAATCTATCCATACTAGCAAAAGGTTTATTAAAGTCCCAAGTTTTGCCCTGCTCCCCTATCTTTTTAATGCAGTTATATGTATAATATCATGATGCTGATAATCACCTCTATGCCACTCTGTCACTTATTTGAGCATAAAACTGCATTATGAGGAAAAACCAATGTAGTGCTGGAGTCTTTGAACACCTAACACAACATGTCAAGTTACTGACTAAAATGTAAAGTGAGTGAGAGAGACAGAGAGAGAGAGAGTGTGTGTATGTGTATGTAAAAAAACCAACAGACTCTTGGCTCTTCCTTTTCCCTCTCTAGATCACCTAAATCTTTCTAACAGAAAACAGTATAGCATGTGGGCAAGAGGCCCAATAGGCCTTCATGCTAACCTGCCTTATTACAAATGAAAAGACCCAATGTCACAGTACTCATGTTCTAAACCTTGAAAGAGTCAGTTTGGGTTCAATTTACCTATTGAACCCTATCAACAGACTGCTCAGAATGAACAGCATCTAGGGGCAAACAGCAAAAATTCTCCTGTTCTCTGGCAGAACAAAAAAAAATTTTACTAGTAGACGTGTATACTATGACTTAATGCAAAATATTTTCATAACTTATAGGTACAGAAATACCTGCTGGGCAAGAAATTTTTTTCCTGTTCCACCAATTAAATGTTATTGCCAATTAATTCATTATGTGGCTTCGTGATTTATCCAATATAATATGTCATCAGTTATCTGATTTCAATATTCAATTTTTATTTTGGATAAATTATTTGTAAGGATATTCAGAATAGTGAAATATTTTGGAATGACCTAACATACAATGCATGGTAATTTCACAGACATTTTCATCTCCACTGATAAGCAAATTTAAATAAATTTTGTCTACCCTCCTAAGCAGTTACAATGGTAAAGCCATAATCTGTCTTCTAATTTCAGTATGACAAACAGGTTATTAATCCTAGTGATGTGGAATTGCTTCAGGGAATTGCTGCAGATAGATATCTGTTCTCTTAGACTAGTTTAGGCAGTGATAAGCAAAGACTGGATATGGTGAGAAGAACAGGTGAAGGTGTATAAGTAAATTTAATCAAAGCCAGCTAAATTCCATTTTCCTCCTCAGGGTGGAAATATTTATTAGGGGAGGGCAGAGGTCAGTCCCCTTTATCACACACACTCAAGTTAAGTTCACTCCAAGTGTGGTTTCTAAAAATATTAGAAGAGGTTTAGAGAGCTCAGAGTGAAGGAAAAGGAGACATCATTCTCACTTGAGTAAGGGGCATCAGCTTAAGAAATAAGGTAAAAGAATACTATTCCCCTCCTATGTTATCCTAGAAGGCTTAGGGCTAAAATACACCACCATATACACAACTAGCTCCCAAGAGTCAGTGTTTGTTCTTAGTAGGGAGACATATAAGAGGGTTGTCCTCAGGGAGTGAGAAGGAAAAGTGTCTCCCTATCTCTCGTTGCTCATCCGGATTTCTTTGCCGTTGCTGACAGGGTTGGAGGAGGGGCTTGGAGTGCCAGCAAAAGCAGACTGTGGCTAAGCTGACTTCCAGTGATTCATGTACTGGTGGGGTGAAGGGGGACATGGGGTGAATGGGGATCACTGCCTGGGCCAGGGTTGGGAGAGGGGTGGTTAGGCCATTCCCATTCTGACTCTCAGAGGCTGGAGAGGCTGCAGGAAGGCCAGCTGCTGGCTGGGAAGTGGAGGAGGTGCTGTCGTTCTGTATCATCTTGCTGGGGAGCTGCTGGGCACTCTACTCAGGGTCTGCTTGCTGAAGTTGGGGCCCTCAGAATAAACCATACAGAACTCTCCAATCTTCTGTACATCACCCCCATGGCCAGTGTAGAGGGTCAGAAATCCTTTAAAACTGAAGTATACACCTTGGTGAGTCGGATAATGTCCCCAGGATGGATCAGGTTGTCAGTATCATCCCAAACAGATATATTGATGCTACCTGTTTTGTCTGCTACTTTGCAGATCCTCACCTCATGTCTTTTGTCTTGGTCACTCGGCCTGTCTCTAGCACAATGAAGATGAGATTCAGGTTCTTAAATCCTGGGCTTGATATCTTTCACAAAGGTCTCCATCGCCATGCTGCCCAGGCCTCCACACCCTGAGGGAGAGCCAGGGTTGTCTCCCAGATTAATTCTTGTGGGCTGTTGATGTCTAGGAACTGGTGGATTTTGCAGCTGCAAAGGCTGTAAGAGTTGCCAAATTTCTCTTTTACTATGCAAATTCACAATATAATTTTTTAAAAACCCTTTCCAGGGGAGGAAGAGGGATAAGAGAATTTCTGATTGCAACACAGGCTCCAATTACATCAAGTAGACACTTCCCCAAAAGGACTTTGGCTAGTACTAAAAGATGACAATGTTTAATAGTCATATCATGATTGTGGATTTTTAAAAAATTCCTTAGAATTAAAAAAGATTTTTTAAATATTTAAGAATTTTAAAAAATTCCTTAGAGGCTAATTTTAAATTAAGGGAAGATTAACAGAGGGAAGAAACAGAATTTTTCTAGATTAAGAAATGAAAGTCATTATTAGCAGAAAATTTTCTTATATCTATAGTCAACTCAAATTGGTTATCTCTCTCTGTTCTTCTGCTACACTATTGTTGTCATACTACAACACAAAATCTGAGACGATAAGAACTCCCTAATACCTCTTAAGAAAAGTAGAAGTGGAAAGGGTAGGAAAAATAGCATAAGTGTAACAAGTAAATAAATTATTTTCCTCAAAGCAAATGGCAACAAGGAAGACTCTTTAGACAGTATCTATAATCTTTGATAACCATTTCCTTAGCAATGAAGTACTATATTTTAATTCTAAGAAGGTTGCTAACCTGTAAGGGCTGTAGAATCATGATATTTCAAAGTTGGGAGAGACTTTAGAGAGCATGTAATCTGAACCCTACCTAAAGCATAAAAGAGCTCTACAATAGTCTCCAATAAGTTATCACCTAGTTATTCAAACCTAGTTGCTTCTTATATCTGAAACATGGGTTAAGGAACTCAAAAAGATAAAATAGCTATCCTTACTACAAAGATGAAGAAGGAATCAGCTGATTTCTACTCTTGGATTTTATACGGTCAGGTAGAAAAATGACAACCATTGTCAAAAGGATTCTCCCGTTTACGGCTTTATTAACTATGGGGAACTGTCCAGAACTGAAATTATTCAGGCAGCATACATGACATAACCAGTCTTATTCATAAAGTTGGAAGGGACCTCAGAGTCCATCTAGCCCAACTCACATCTGACCAAAAATCTCCTCTACAAGAATCCATACATGAGTACAGTCTTTGCTTAAAATTTCTACTAAGGAGAAACCTACTATATTCGGAGGCAACCCATGTTACTGATTATAAGGAAGTTTTTCTTATACCACATTTAAATCTGCCTCTCTGCAAGTTTACTTACAGCTCCTATTTCCTCATTTTTCCTTCAGTTGTCACCATAGTCTTCACGAGATATAACACCCATTACTCCTAGATATCTGTTTATTCTTCTGTCATAAAATCTTTTGACAGAATTATAGATCTAGAGCTTGAAGAGGCCCCCCAGGCCATTTAATCCTTTTTCCTTATTTTACAGATGAGGAATCTGAGGTTCAGGGAGATTAAGTGACTTGCCCCAAGTTACACAGGTAGTACCAGGCACCAGAGGTAGGATTTGAATCCAATTCCTCAGTCTCCAAAGCCATCTTTGATAACCCGTCAATGCCTGATCCTCCTCCTGAGTTAGCTGGTTTAAAAATGTGGGTACTGGTATAGTTTTCTGGCCTCATTAGGTCTGTCTATTCTGAATGCTCAGAGAATCCTTGAGGAAAATAGACTATTAACTACTATAAATAAGATATCCTCTGTTGCTCAAGAGCTAATCACAAGTGTTCTTTTAATATTTTTAAGGCAATAAGGAAGAAAAAGATATCAGGCATGCACTTCAACTTCTGATTTCCCTCAATGAAACAATGATCATAGGACCACAGCATTTAGAACCGAAAGAGACCTTTAAATTAATCTAATCCAGTAGTTCTTAACTTTTTTTGTGTCAAAGATGCCTTTTGGGGACTGGTAAAACCTAGAAATCCCTTCGTAGAATGTATTTTAAAGGCATAAAATGAAATACAAAGAATTTCAAAGGAACTAATTATGTTGAAATACATCTGCACACACACACACACACACACACACACACACACACAGTCCCCAGGTTAAAAACCTCTAATCTAATCCAAACTCTTCATTTTCTAGATAAGGAAATTAAGTACCAGAAATGTGAAGTAATTTGCCCCAAGTATCTCACACACAGGTAAGTAGAAAACCTGGAATTCAAATCTAGGTTCTCTGTTCTACTGAACTATGCCGGTAGAGATTTTATAATAAGGATTTATTAGAGGGCTTTATAAGGAAGAAAATAACTATCATGATACTTTCTGAGTACTTCATCAATACTTTCAAGGCACAAAATAAAGGAATGATAAGGTAATTTACCTGAACACTTGCTAGAAAAACAATAGAGAAGCTCAAGCATTATGAAATATATTTTCAACAGAAATGAAGAAAATTGAATACAAAAAGGAGCAGGAATAAAGAGTATGCTATTCTTAATGTGACATTTTCAACCAGGACAGAGATTCTGGTAGAAAAAGATGGAGAAAAGTAATCAAACTGATAGAGCACAGCAGGGGTTCCCAACTGGGCAGGCTTACAGACCCTATGAAGTTATCACAGTGGTTCCTTATAGTCATATGTACATCAACATTGTCATTCTGATTTAATCCCAACAAAATATACACAATGCAGTAATGAATAAGCAAACATACATTCCATAAACTGAATGTTTCAAATATATATGTGTATATATACATACACATACATACATATATTACTAATTGACTTCTTAGCTACTTAGTACCAGCAGTGAAGTACACACAGCCCACACCTAATTTGCAAGTTTGAGTTAATATTTAAGGGACCCTCTTGAAAGTAAGAGTTATTTTGGGAGATGAACTCTTGAATGACCACATACATTGAGAACAGATGAGGTCAACCATCTGAGACATTCTGGACCTTTCAGCTACTTCACAAGTCATCACTAACAGGTAGCTATGTCAATAATTAGAAGATAACTTTTGCCACCTGGTCTCAAACTTCCTACTCAGCACTGTTGCTAGATCTTTCTACAAATACTAAAGAGTAAGTATGCTGATACATTACTATATGTATATCTTCTGTTCTACACATGTACCCTGCAGGTCAGTAATATTCAATCAAAAAATGTTGATGCTCCTATTATAAATTTGATATCTACTAAAAACACACCTAATATTGCTACCTAAAACACTGCAAGTATAGAAAAGGAGATAATTAAATTTTAAATGACTCTCATTCTCTGCTAACTGTTGTACCATCAGCTGCACCTAAAAATGTAATACCATTGATCTACCATTATAGTATTGTCTAGTGCTTCTTGGTCATTGACTAAAGGGACTTTTTTAACCTACAACAGCAATGTTTACAACACCCAAAATTTAACTGTCACTTTTCTTCTTTCATTTAAAGTACATAATTATTTCTTTTTTAATTTACTTTGTCTATGTTTTTATAATAGGGCAATGGGACCCCAACACTACTTGTCACCCATGAATTAAAGATAATTTTTAGTGAAGAGTTGTTTTGCATAATTCAAGCAAGGATCCTGACACCAGAGAAATGACATTAGAAAACTTGGAAATCTTCAATGTGGAGATTTCCAAGACTTGGGCAAGAGGATCAAAAAGAAGAGTGCACCAACACCTCGACTTGGGATCACAGGATAGAGAGATTTGAGCAAACAGCTAGTCCAATTGTCTCTCTCTCTTTTTTTAAACAGATGAGTGATCCAAGATTCAGAAAGGTTAAATGACTTGCCCAAGGTGATACAGGTTATAAGCAGCAAACCTAGGGCAGCTCTGATCTCCCTTATTATATATGATCTCTTCTTCATCTGATTCCACTTTGTTCTCCTTCTTGTGCACTTGTCACTTATATTCTAAAGTGAAATACATTTATCTGTGTACACATCTTCTTACTCCTACTAGATTGTAAGAGATAAAGCTAGGATCAAAGCTTAATTATAGTAAGAAGCTAGAATTGTGCTGCTAGTTAGCTTACAACCCAGCTGTTACATAGTGGAAAGAAATACTCACTAGATAAAATAAGGTACATTATGCTTAATTCAGCATAGAAAACTGGAATTTTTCACGATATACCCAAAAAACATAAAAGATCAATTTCTAGGCCTTATGAATAATAAAGGTCATTGGTCTGAAGAACATTCTGAATATTGATATAAAACAATCTCTTCTCTTTAAAAAAGTTCAAATTGTGTCAGTTACTCTAAATTATGTTTATAAATTCCTGACATTTTAAAATAGGGAGAGAGAGAAAGGATGAAAATAAGCATTTATAGAACTCCCACTATGTGCCAGGCACTGTGCTAAGCACTTTTACAAATACTATTTCATATGATCCTCAACAGCTCTTCCCTAGCAGGAGCCATTATGATTACTACTTTGCAGTCAAGGATTAAACACCTACTGTCTCCCAGGGTAAATGACCTGCCCAGGGTCACAGAGCTAGTAATGCCTGGGGACAGATTTGAACTCAGGTCTTCCTGACTCCAGGCCTAATGTTCTATTCACTGCACCACCAACTACCAAAGTAGGTAGCCGAAAGGTCAGAATCAAAAGCAAGACACTTTTCAATCTGTCAGTATCCTTCTTGAACCACAATTCAAGTCTTCTATTGTAGGGAAAAAAATGTGCAGATGTTAGAATTAAAGTGAATTTTAACCAAAACTGATTCTTCCTAATAACACTAAGATCAATTAAAAAGACATTTGGTTTAGTCAGAGAAATGGGAAGAAGAGTTAAATATAAATACTATAATGAATTTTAAAAATACAACTTACAATAAAGTCTTCATGTAAATGTAACCATAAAGTACACAAAAGAAAGGGTATAACTCTATTTAACTACATTTAGTTAAACTTCTGCTTTACAGGAATAGTGTCATTTCACAGTTTCAAATACACTATTGTTACAAAAGGGGCTAGAAACATACATATAAAAATTTATAATAATAAAAGTAACTATTAAAAATGTTTAATAGTGGAGTGTCAACTAATCAGGGACAACAGATACTGGGAAGC